AATGTTTACATACCCCCCCTCCATACAAAAGGACAGACTGCCCTGCTTACAAGCAGCCGTCGCCCTTGGCCCCCAGGTCTTCTGTACAATTTGTATGTATCTGAGAGGTCAAGGTCCAGACTCCCATCCCATGGCCTAAATCTGTTAAGTCACTCTGTCTCTCTGGGATTTGGCTGATATCCTTTTTGAAACTATATCTAATTAAAACCAAAATCATGATCTCATCATATGTCATCATCTTACAGAGCCACAGTCTTCATTTTTGTTACAATATACGATGAAGAAGTGAATTTTAATATTGATTGTATTGTATCACAAAATATGATATCATCAATTTTCTGCCCTGAATAAAAACAAGATCACAGGGGAAAATACTTGAAATCAAAACGATTTGCAGTCCGGCCATGAGTTTGTAATAACACACAAAAAGGTAGAAACACAAGCATCACGAGAAGACATCTCCCTTATCGCTGTGCCCCCTAGTGGCCAGGAGTCTACACTGCGCCAACAATGAATAATGTGTGACCATCTGTGAACAACTGGACACGCCGCAGGAATAAGGCACAGAAATGAGACAGAGTTTGCATTATTTTCTGGGAGTGCGGCACACACCATTCCAGATGGCCCACATCAGTCCAGAACTTAAACACACACATTTTACTAATTCTGCTTCACTGCAGAATGCCATAGATTTGGCATGAACAACCGGCATTGCATAATAAGATCAAAAAGACCAGCAAAAACAACAACAAAAAAAAAACCCTTCTGCATTTCCGACATTCTCAAGGCACAGTGATCTCTGGTGCATGCATTACCCATGAATCTCATATATTCAGAATTTCACAGCAGTGGAAGAATGAGAAACAGGAAAGGTTAAGGAACGAAATCCTCGAAAGCGGATTACGCGCAAGGTCTCGGCAGAGCTGAGAAGGCGTCACGCGCCGCACGAACCACAAGTTCATATTTTGCAGCAGTTCGTGGTTTAGAGTGACACGCCGTGTGAAGACGGGGATCCCAGAGGAAACGGGAGGCCCCATGCGGAGACACAGCCCCCCCCAGCGAAGCCCCGGAGCTGACCTGGGCCAGCCTGGGGAATGAGCTGACCTCATTGTTTTTGAACATGCTAGGTCAGTCCTGGACCCGTGTTCAGTTGTGTGACGGCTCCTTTAATCAAGCAGCATGTCCCCCCCCCCCACTCCCCACCCCTACAGGGCCAGAGAGCCTTTAGTGGGGTTGAACAGGGTAATGTCAGACAAGGGAGGGTTTGGCACAAACGCCAGGGAGCCGTTCCCATTGTAATTCAGGGCACCGCTCACCGCTGAAATGCGATCATGGAGAACAACGAGGATCCAGGATTTTAGGGCTTCCATTAGATTAGTGTTTTCGCAACCCAGTCCTTGGGGACCCTCAGACAGTCCACTTTTTTTCTTCCTCCCAGCTCCTAACACACCTGACCCAGCTATTCAGTGTTCCTGATTGGCAGGCAGCTGGGTGAGAGCAAAAACATGAACTTCCAAAGTGGTCTAGTGAAACACTGGATCAGAAATACACGGCGCATCGGAGCTGAGTGGGGGAGCGGGAGTGAGAGAGCACGGCTCTGTGGAAAGGCTGACGCCACCCAGCCCCACGTGCGACGGCTCACACGCAGGAGCGACGCACGACCTCCAGCTGCATCAACGCTCAGGGAGATTAACGTCCATACAGCGGCGGCGGCCGTGGAGTGGACTTATCGCATGGTAACTGCACACTTCTCCTCTCGAAGCAGGAGGCCAGTGAGATCATAGGAAATAAAACAACAGCCCGGAAACATCATTATTCTCTCCAGAAGATCACTGCGGGGAAGAAGGATAAAAAAAAAAAGCCTCCAATCATCAGTTTTTACTTTTAGAAAAAAGGGAAAAAAATCATTAGGAGGCACAACAAAAAACAAGAAAACATCTAAATGTCATCTGACTCCAGTGAACTGAGCAGCTCAGTATAAGGAAAACAACAAACTGTTTTATTTGAACTCTGTACTCTGATTATGTGTAAATGAACACCTGTCGATATCTGGTTAAGAACTCTGGAGGCTAATTCCATTTGAGATGGATCTTCACTTCATAGACACTGTCCTTGGATGTTGGAGATGTTCTCCTTAGAGGCTGATTTACACCCCAAACACCAGGGCGAGATGACACAGTGCTGGAGTAATTTCTTCGCTCATACCACTGAAGGCTAAGAGCAAACAGAAACCAGAGCACGTTGCGACCCTCTAGGGGTAGCAAACTCAAAGCAGCACAGAGCTAACATCATGTGCGTGCTGCTTTTTATTTCGTTCCATTCCCCTCGCTCCACTGGCCTGTGTAGTCGCTAATTTGACCCAGTAATTATGCTTTCACCCCCCAATGCCTCTCCCATAAAAAAGGGCTCCTGTCTCGACACGCCGTTCTATGAGCTGTGATGGTTCAATATAATTCCACAAGAAAATACAGCTGATTTCCAAATTACCAAAGGAAACATGGGTAAAAATCATCTGTAAACACATGGGCCTGAAGGAATAAAGTTTGATGAGTTCATGGTCAAGGTAAAACTGGGTTTTGTGGCTGAAGTATATCACTTTCAAAAGAGAGTGTAATGAGCCTGCTGGAAAAAACAGCTCAAATTGTCGTGCATAATTTGTTCAGCGGAAGCTAAAGCAGGCTTTCGGAGAGGCCTGCAAAGCTAGCGATAACATACAAGTGCCAATCACAGTGCCACAGTGCCGCTGAGCGGCACCAGGGCGTGCATTTGGCAGACATACCCCAGCAGGCCTCATGGTGACAGTCTGAGAAAACCCCTCAGGCAACGGCCGCACTTGCTATAAGGGACTCGAGTTGGATAAATACCTTAATAACAGACCCCTAAATGCTGCTTGCTGAACATTTCTTCAGATCCTGGTAGCAAACATCTCCCAGTCAAATACACAACCTTGAACACTGTCATCCAAAGTGTCACCCAGTTTCTTTGATTAAGCAAATCTGATTTCTTAATGGACATAATGAATATGTTTGTAAGAAATTGAAGTTTGACTATCCATCCATCCATCCATCCACCCATATATCCATACCTCCATTTGTCTTCTAGCCACTTATCCTGTTCCAGGCTGTGGTGAACGTTTGATCACATGCATAATTAATAATGGTAGCTTTCCTGAAGAAACATATGGGTCCAGCCTACTTGCTCCCAAGATGTAACCCCTTGGCAGAGCAGCATGTATTATAAATTAAATGATTAGCTTTAGCATCTTGTCAGCACCTCTTTCTGAACACTGTCACAGGGCACCACCGGGGCAGTATCAGTGCGTTACGAGCGCGCAGACAGATGGCCCTGTTTGTAAAAGCAAAGGAAAGGCACACAGACAGAGGCTAAAGGGGAGCAACCTCACATGTTTCTCTTAACGAAGCAGCGGGAAAGGCGTCTTAGTGGAGGCTAATGCCACCGTCTGGTTTCTCCTGTGGCCAAAAACCACGGTCACGAGCGGAGATGGAAATCTCTGCTGGCTCCAGGTCCACAGGCAAGATGCGGGACGAGGAGTGCAAATGACTGACAGCAGTTTAATGAATTTCCTGCTCTCCCCTGAATTAAAGCTTTAGCTGCATTATTCCATTTTGATTTTTTTTCCCCCAGAATATATTTACCAGTGACATGGGACTGGATCACCAAAGCGAGACCTAATAAGCCCTTCTAATCTAATTTCCATCTATATTGCCGTGCACTGTACAGTTGGCGAGGCTAAGCGGCCTGCTCTAATTCCCCCCAGACTCAGACCAGAGGCACAGCCTGTTCCGAGGCTGGAGGTCACGGTCTTTCTTTAATGATGTCACGCCGTGTATCTGAATGCCGCGCTTTGCCCTGATTACACCGGTTCCACACTGAGCTTCGAGGCCTACGGGTTCAAGACCAGTTCACGCAGTGGTACCTGAAATAAACCCCAGAGACCTTAATTTCTACAGAGAGACTAAGACACTTAAGTTGGCCAGCATTGGAAAACTTGTAATCATCGTGCAGCAATTTAAGTCTGTAGCACAGAGGATCACATGTGGAGTCGTACATCAGGGTGATTAACTGCAGCGAGAATATCTTGAAATTTACACCACATCCTTACACAATAAATATGGTCGTGTATTCAAATGTGTTCAGCCTGGCGTGTTTGAGGTGTTTAACGTCACCGCGGGGTGCCGGCTATAAACCAAGTCATGGAGATTCTGTGAAATAAGCGCCGATACCGTGGCAGAGCTGGTGCTGCAGGATAATGGCAGACTCCGCCGAAACTCTGGAGAAGAGCAGCAGCTGCGAAAGCTTCCTGGAGATACTTCTCAGACGGACAGCTGGAATGACGTCAGAGGCGCAGATGTTGGCTCGCTGGGGTGGTAGCCGGGGAGGATCCCCTGGCGGGGGCCGCTGGTGTAAGGCGCTACCCTTCAGTGCGGCTCCAGGCCTGGACACGGGTTCCCTGCTCACTTAGCACATGCCCTACTCGTGCCCCTCTTGTCTCACAGACACATGTTCACATGCACAGAAAACTCACAGACATGGCCGCTTAGCACAACACGGCTGGAGTCGAGGGTAAATAAGATGATTCAGAAACAGAAGAACTGGTCAGTGCTCATCTTGATCTTCCAAGTTAACAGGAGCAACAACAAACTCAGACGCATGGCGAGACTGTAGGTAGCATTGCTGCCTCAGACCTGCTGGGTTGAGGGTTCGAATCCTGTGTCCCACTCTATGGCTGCTCATTTTTTATTTTTTCTGCATATTCACCCAGGTTGCATGTGATTCATCCTGTAGCCCAAAAACAGGGGTTTCGATGCACTGGAGTCTCTGAATTGCCCCAAGGTCCCCCTGCCTTGTGCTCTTGTGATAGGCTGCTGGGGAAGGGCACAGCCCTGTATTGAATAAGCAGCTGGAAGATGGATAAATAACACATGGACAGAACTTCAACAGTAATGACAGTATGAAGCTTTAAACAGTGCAAACAAAACTGGCACATTTTTTGAGTTTATTATAGTTTGTCTGTTTATATACATGTGCACTGTTCATTTTAAATGGCAGTCAAAAATTGGAGAAAAAAACAATGTACGAATTTAGTAATGTTAGGTTTGGCAACTCATTACTAGTACAATTAAGCATTCTTCATTCCTTTAATTCATAGGAATAATATAAATCTTCATTAATTACAAGTAAAATCTAAACTAGAATTGCTGTCACTGGTCCAGGTTGCTAAAGCACCTATACAAGCATCAAAAAACTAACAAAAAAGCATCAAACTAGCACAGATGTCCATATGAGACCCATGTCACACATAGTTTGTTCATGGGAGTTTTACTTAGACATTTATGTTCTGAGGGCAGAAGGAGAAATGATAGGTTATCTCTCTGAACCAATCCGGTTGTAGAGGTGGTGGGTCCATGCAACTAAAGCAGGTGGGACCAAGACATATGATCGGTTGGTTCCACCACCTCTAGCTGCTTGGACCCACCTCCTCTACAGTCTGACTGGTTATCTCTCTGAACCAATCATTTCTCCTTCTGCCCTCAGAACACTTTTGGGTGAGTAAAACTTGCATGAGCAAATAGTTTAGTATTAAGTAAATGCGAATGACAGCGGGTTAGTCTTTGCATCGCAAGATAATGCAAATAATAAATAATAAATAAATAATACATTTAAGTTGGCTCTCCACTGGGCTGTTGAATCATCCACTTGCGCTTCTGTCTCCAGGGAACCTGTTTACTCGGTATTCAATGTGAATATACAGTTTGGAGCAACTCCAAGTCACAGACACTTCTCAAAGCTACAAAGAAGTAATAAACTGCACACATTATACCAGCTGTTATGACGCAAGCTTCATTTGAATGATCTAAAACTATGGACTACCCAAGAACATCAGAAGAATTCTTGTAGTCTTGAAAGTCTCTGATATTGAGTCCCTGTAAGTCCCTGATTGGGTTAGCATGTATTGCACCTGGCCAGCATGATTGGGTTAGTATCTGTAGCGCTTGCCCAGTCTGATTAGGTTAGTATGTGTAGCGCCTGCCTAGTCTTACTGGGTTATTATGTGTAGCGCCTGCCCAGTCTGACTGGATTACTGCATGTAGCGCCTACCCAGCATGATTGGGTTAGTATCTGTAGCGCTTGCCCAGTCTGATTAGGTTAGTATGTGTAGCGCCTGCCTAGTCTTACTGGGTTATTATGTGTAGCGCCTGCCCAGTCTGACTGGATTACTGCATGTAGCGCCTACCCAGCATGATTGGGTTAGTATCTGTAGCGCTTGCCCAGTCTGATGGGGTTAGTATGGGTAGCGCCTGCCCAGTCTAACTGGGTTAGTATGTGCAGCGCCTGTCCAGTCTGATGGGGTTAGTATGGGTAGCGCCTGCCCAGTCTAACTGGGTTAGTATGTGTAGCGCCTGCCCAGTTTGATGGGGTTAGTATGGGTAGTGCCTGCCCATCTTGACTGGGTTAGTATGTGCAGTGATTGCCCAGCCTAATTGGGTTAGCATGTGCAGTGCCTGCCCATCTTGACTGGGTTAGTATGTGTAGCGCCCGCCCAGTCTGACTGGGTTACTGCATGAAGTGCCTACCCAGCATGATTGGGTTAGTACATGTAGCGCCTGCCCAGCCTGACTGGGTTAGTATGTGTAGCACCTGCCCAGTCTGATGGGGTTAGTATGGGTAGCGCCTGCCCAGTCTGATTGGGTTAGTATGTGCAGCGCCTGTCCAGTCTGATGGGGTTAGTATGGGTAGCATCTACCCGGTCTGACTGGGTTAGTATGTGTAAGTCCTGCCCAGTCTGACTGGGTTAGTATGTGTAAGTCTTGCCCAGTCTGACTGGGTTAGTATGTGTAAGTCCTGCCCAGTCTGACTGGGTTAGTATGTGTAGCGCCTGCCCAGCCTTCATCCTGGCCTGCATTGACCTTCATCACTAACTCACACGGAGTTGTCTGCTAATCTTGTTCCACATGAGACAGACGGGCCTGAAACAGGTGCCAAAAACAACCAACCGCAGGAGGCAGAAACGTGACCGAGGAGGAACGCACACCTGCCGTTTACTGCTGCCCTTTGCAATTGAGCTGAAATTATACTTGGGAGAGCCCCTGAGGACAGAGGCGCTAACACAAAGCTGCCGCCGCAGCCCGACATGACGATGTTTACCGAAAAAGTCAGGAGCAAGAACTTCCTCTGAGCCTTTAGCATGCTGACAGTTGGAAAACCACAACACACAGGGCATGCGATAAGATAGAGATATTAATAAGCTCTATTTTTATGACTGTCAGACCTGTGTCTGTTCAATTTTTTTTTATTTTACAGGTCATGTTGATTTACAAACACTCTCACTATCAATAACAATGTTGTCTATCATCTGATAGGAACTGATCTGCATTTCAGCTGTTATCTCCTGCTGCCACTAAGCACTGCATGGCAGAAGGTTCCACTTGATAAAAACGTAGAAAGTCTGTATTGATTCAACAGTGGAAGTCATTAAAGACATTTAACCACTCCTTAAAAAAAGGATTCACAACTTCCCATTTGCAATAATTTACTGATAGGTCATGTAAACGGCAAACATTTTCCTGTAACATTAACAGGACTGAATTATGCATCAAAGCTCATACACTATCGCACCATAACAGCCTCATGTTTTCTAGGGTCAAAGCATTTTTACTTCATAACTATGTACATTGTAACTCAAAATGTGTTTGTTCATTTTCAAACATTTCACCCTCATTATGATTAAACACTATAGAGTGTTAACCTAAGATGGCGATAACATCATCTTAACGACTGAGATATTCATGAGACTCCTATCATTCAAGACCAGTAAAAAACAGAAGTTTCTGTACAAGATCAACAATAGTCTGTCTGACTTTTATCATTCAAGGTGCTTCAACTTTCTTTAAAAAGAACGAAAGAGGTTAAAAATGTAAACACATTATTAACTGCAGAATTCACTTGCAGCCTTGGCACAGCCCAAAGAATGCCACAGTCTCCCTAGCAATTCATGCTACAGTCAATACGAAAGTATGGATGTGCAAAGTCATTAGTGTTTAAAACAGGTCTCTGCCCTGGTAAGTGGGAGTCACCACACAAAAAAAATGAAAGTGCCTCAATTAAATGTCCTAGTAAAAATGTTTCCCCAAATATTTGCAGCTGAATCACATTTTCAGTTATGTAATGGTACTACAAGAATATCATTAGTAATTTTACAAAGGGACCAAATCTTAGTAGTGCAAATGCTTGAGAATGGTACTCTTTAAGTTTTATTAGCACTATTTAAGTGCTAATTAAATGTTTTGGTTTATGTTTCGAAAACATGAATGGCAAAGTTTATGAATTATTGATGCAGGGATTTCCCTTTATCCAAAGACCTCTACATCCTCATTCAAGTCAACTGCACAAAGTGAACAAAACAAATCTTAATAGTCTATATGTGCAAACAAGCAATATTCTTTGACAGTGAAAAAAAACACAGGTGTTAAGCACTCACAGAGACACATGTAGCATTCTAGTGTTGCCTTAAGTGTTGGATTAGTCAATCGCTGCCATATATAAACAGCAGCAGAGAATCCAAGCAGGGAACAAACACCAGACAGACACCAACCCATACCAGGACACCAGCCACCGCTGATTTTCAGGCCATTATTACATCAGGCTTTTCCCTGAGAGAGCAGCCCATTCCTCCCGGGACAGAGCTTGGAGGTGGACATTCAGCGAGGGGAGAGTCGTGTTCCCATAGAAACGGACCCGCCCGCCGCACCCGGGGCTGTCGAAGGTCCAGCCTCGTTGGTGGCCCCACTCCCCAGCAGGCCCATCCAGTGCAGGTTAAGGATGGAGTCGGCGATGATGCGTGCGGTCTTCCGCTGGTACCCCCCTGATGTCACCATGAGGATGGGGATGCCCTGCTGTCGGGCAACCCTGAAGACAATCTCATCCCTCTTGATGATGCCCTGCAGGAAAGATGTCCACCATCACCATCATCATCATCATCACCACCACCACCACCAACGCTCAACGTTCCCTCAAACCACCCCGCCAAAAAAGGGGGTGGTGAGTGACTTAGCGGGCTCACATACTCACAAGATACTCACAAGATACTCACAAGATACTCACAAGATACTCACAAGTCTGTGGGCCCTTGAGCACGGCCCCTAACCCCCAGCTGCAGGGGTGCCGCACGTGAGCCCTAAGCTATGGGGAGCTGGGGGGGGGGTTAGGTGACGAGAAGAATTCCAATGTACTTGTGCAAATGGCAAATAAAGGATTTATCATTTTTTAATCTTTACCATTAAGCTTTGCTCATGGTTTTTCAATCCCATCCTACTTCTTTTCTGTCCCCAGCTCGGCTGTCCGCAATGTACAAGGCGACGTAAGGGGTCTGAGGTGCGTCAATCCAGATAACGTCTCAATCTGGTTCTTATTACAGCTTCAAGAGCAAAGGCGAAGTACGTGCCAGACAGAACGGGGACACCACCACTGGCAATCAGCAACTCACGGGCATCGGACAGGCCGCCACAGGGGTCCGGCACAGCGACCAGCCAATAATATCCCGGCAGACCTAACCTCTCAGTTCTCCTCATCACTAACACATGGTACCATATGCATGTGGCAGGTAGTTTGAGCGGCAGTGGTCAGCCCATATTGTAACCCACATGAGACTCTGCATTGTGCGCTAAGAAGGCTGACTTCAGAGAACAGCTATCACGCATTGACATTAGGAGGGACAAGAGTGGAAAGTATTAGAAAAGGCATGCATCCTGCAGGGGAAGTAAGGGAGGGGATACATCTGTCACGAAAGGAAAAGGAGTAATGCTTCCTTCCACGACACACCCAAACCATAAACAGGCAGGTAAACTCAATAGCTGCTTCCGATCTGTTGCCATGGTAACTGGTAAAACACAACTTTAACGCTGGGACCTCTACGGAGAGGACTTTAGCAAAACGGAGTGAGGTGAACCTGCGGGGAGATGGAAAGGCCTCCGAGTGGATCGCCGTCCAGGATGTCCGTTCCGGCGTTGTAGACGATGATATCTGGCCGCATCTCGCTGAGGGCTCTCTCAGAGTTCTGCTTTACCTTCTGCAGGTACTCCTGATCCTCAGTCCCCCAGTCTAGCTCCACCTTCCTCTTGATGGCCCCTGTAGCCCAGTGCAGCATGGGAAATACAGATGAGACATGATGAGGGCTAATGGGTGATTGGCCCTAATCGCAGGGCCAGTTTGTACTGCCCCCTTGACCACATTTTTGGGAGAAAAAAACTACACAGTTCATTCATTTTCTACCTACTATTATAAGAAGACCATTATACATATAGCTTTTGAAAAGCTACTGACAGTCAACCCCAGAGCCTCTGTTTCTGTCTGTTGAATAGATCCAGGTCACTGTAAAATAAGCTTTCCAATCGATAGTGCCGGTCAGCAACATTTCAGGCACACAGCAACATAAACTGTGTGCAAAACTTTTGCCAAACGCTATTTACTATCCCACTGAGATTTCTGCTTACTTTTACCACAAACTCTTACAATAATTCCAAGGTGCCATTAGTTTTACCTTAGTTTAATTTCTTAGTTTATTTTTTTATATTTTTTTGCTGAGTGTAAAACAAATGAGGAGAATTAGCCGATGTGCTGGTCGTTAGTGCTGGACACATTGAATGTGGTCAGTGCTGAATTGGTCCTGCTGTGCTGAAATGTCTGATTCTGCTATACTGAAATGTCCTAACTCTCACGCCAGGATCCGCATTGTCATCCTAATTATTGCCCTGCACAGTAAAGAAAAGCAGAGTTTCATCTCCTTGTGAATCGGCACATAAGGGAAAAATGCTAAAGCCAGCGATGCTTTAGTCAACTGCCTATTAGCGAATTCTCCCTCTAGCCTAATTGGTATTTAAAGCTTTTTCTACTGCAGATGAGGACACTGGGAAAAACCAAGCATGCAGACTGATCTTTTAGTCTTTGTAGACATTCAACTGCTATGAATGCAAATGCTCACAGTAAAAAACCTCAAAGGATCAAAATCTAAAAGTGAAGTCGACAGTCTAAGCACACAATCTCTTAAAGGAGGGAAAAAGGCTTTTAAATCTTGGCTCAGAAATTTGTCTTCAGATATATTTTGCATACATTAAATGGGCCTCTGTTTTGCGGTGATTTCAGCGACATCGTTGCTTGGCAGAGCTTCTAACCAGAAACGTATGCACCATTTCCATAACCGCTGTCACACTCCACTACTACTTCATATGTAAAAGAGCCGCCTAGTGACCATGCATATTTCCAGTCTTCATTCATTCATAGTTCATGCAAAAAAAACCTATAATTTAAAATTGAAGTAATGTGGCCCTTCCAGATTAAATGATAAATATTGTCTAATTTTAATAATTTTGAATATTTTTACGGTTAAAACACAGTGCTTAGAAACACTTAGTGAGTTCCCAGTACCTGTCATCATATTTAACACTCTATTGAAAACACAAAGGTGACTTTGCCATTTAAAAGATACTGCAGTGTCACATGATACATAACACTGCCACCTGCAGTCAGGTTCGACAACTGCAAGCCCTCAGCAGAACAACCCCATATCTTGTTGATTTAGTTCATAGCTAATCATCTTTGCATATTTTCTATATGGATATCATATTTTAATGAGAAATTATAATTGTAAAATGTCACAGATTTCCATCTATATATGTAGCTTCATACTTACATCATGCTATATTTCAGACAAACCTCCCACCTTTTAAAAATAGTTCCATCTATTATCTTTTGACTAATGTGATTTCCCCCCACGGGTTGGACGAGATTCGACACTTTACACCAAAACAAATAATTGATGTCTGCAATGAAATGTAATTTACGTTTGGCATATCCGTCCCCGGGGTAGATGTAGCGGTTATAAACATCCATTATGTAGACCCGGTCATCATCCAGGAAGTCTCGCTCGTGCCCATTTCCCTGCAATGAGAATTGCCACTTGGTTACATCATCAGCACACTGGTCATTAACGATAATAATAAATGGCCGGTTATAGCCAATTAAATGACGATGACAGACTCAAAACAGCCGAGGCTGCTGTTGACCCCCTGAGGAAAATATCTCAAACAACTTCAGCTGCATAGCTGAGAAGAAATGATAAAAATGAAGAACTGCACTACGCAAACTGAAGAGCTGGGGCTGCTGACCTGTACTGCCTCTCCTGAATATGTATAATAATCATGGACGCCCTTTAACCTCATCCAAAAGCAATACTGAGTTCATGAGGTATACTGTATATTTCTCAGAGTCCCCCTCCCCTGTTGCATCTCCGCAGGTGAAGCCGACATCATTTCCATCTGAGTGGCACCACGTCTACCAGCCCGAGGAAAGACGTCATGGGTATCAAGGCTAGGAGCCATCAGTCCCAGCAGGCAGGTTGCCACCACGCTTCTTGGTCTCGTCTCCCGTCGGCGTCAGACGAGAAGCTTTACAGTATGCCATTGGCGTTAATGTCCTTGCAGAGACGGCCTTGTGCCCGGGAGTCTGGTGGTTCATGAAACCTTTAGGTGGTTTGAGAGACCTTTCAAGGTTTGGAAGGACAATGAACTGCTGGGAGAATAGTGCTGTCATACTTATCTGCTTTAAAAAACGTATTTTATTTTCATTTTTTTCTCTTTATTTGCATTTTTATTAGACTTTAGTAGCTTATTCAAAGATATCGTGAGATATTCTTTTAAGTACTTTTGGGGCTTTGCTTCTGTTGGTTAGGTCACTTCTTTAGCCAGATGGACACCTAGTAGTAATTTTTTTAAATCAGTATTTTCTATGATAAAACATGATTTCAAAACTAATGGCGCTTTTCTACTGGTATACAGGAACCAAACCATAGCGCAAAAAGAGACTAGTTACAGTGCGCTTCTAGCTCACTTCGGTATTCCGCTGCAGAAAGATTGGCTCGGTAAAGGCATTGACACACTGTACATCGTGATTTACTATGTGCTAATTTCTGCTAGCAAGCCTGTGAGAATCGCCATCTTATGTTAGCATCAAACACCAGCAGAATTAGCATTTGCTTGCATGAATCTACATCACGAGTCCATTGTGTTCAGCTGCTCTATAATACTTTTTTAAGTAGGTGGTTGGAAAAGTTCAAGTTCCGAGTTATTAGGAACGTTTTAATACATTGCGATGTGCGAAATGACTCGGGTTTGACTCGGTTTTTGTTGGCAGTGGAAAAGTGCCATAATTGTTTATTCATGATCCATTTAGGTTTAAGTACATGAATATCGGTGGTATGCAAACTACTCAGGATAAACTAGCTGGTAAATATTTAAGAATCAGTTGCACTGGACAGTGCAGTCCAGGTATATATACCCCTGCTAGCTAACAGACTTCCATTTTTAGGAAGTAACAACAAAGCAAAGGTAATCCTTCCGATTTGTCGGCATGCAAGGGAAAATACGTTTCTCAACGCCTGATAAGAGGCAGCTTTTTTCAGCCGCCACAGATTTATCCCACAATAATGAAGATTAAAGACTTGTTTTCTTTGGAAACTTCAGCCGAGCTGATTAAAGTATGAATGATCAACAAGAGCTGACTGCTGGTGAAAGATGGATTACAGCATGAACTCTTATCCTGCACTTCTGGGAGGACGGTGAGGCGTCTCACCCTCTGCTCAGAACCATTCGCCATATATTTGTCTATATATGTAATTACGCTAAGTAAACATGTACGATAATACATCAGTATAAATCCCAGAAGCACTGTGAGCAATCTGTACCAAAATATTATCCTTAACATGACCCATATACCAAATATTTTGTGAAACTTAAGTATGGAGTGTATTACTGCCCCCAGAGTTCACACTCTGCATGGTGTCAGAATTATAAACATCAGCAAAGGGCCTTCCAGTACATTTCTGCTGACCTGTTACCAAGTACCTATTATCCTCATTAACCGCTGCTTTTTGCCGTTCATGTCTCTGATATCATTTGTTTGCTCAGTGTTTAGCTTATCTGGTTCATTAGAAGGTGATATAAAATTCATATATGCAGAGGGCAGGGCCCAGGAAAGCGATCCCAAAGATGGCCCCAAATTACTCCGCTGGCTTAATTGGAATTTTAAATGTCGGATTTCTGCCCCTCAATATTTTTCCCCCGCTGAGGCAGCACTTTCAGACAGCCCCGGTGTTCTCATGCAGATTCAGAGCTTTGTTCTCTACGCTTCCTTCATGAATTATTTACTCAGCATGGCTATCGATCAGGTCCTCTCGCTTTGCCCTGTCGATAGCAAAGGGGCACAATTACAGCCAAGCTGCGTTTGAAAATAAATATGACGGCCCAGGACAGAGGGATCGTGGGTAGCAGTCAATGCTAATGCAATTACAGAGGGTGAGGTGATCAGAGGAGAAAATGTAGGGTGCAATGGAGAGTGCCGGAATGAAGTGAACATCCCGATCACAAATGACGGATCAACAAGAAATGGACGACTGTCATGAATAAAAAAACCATCACTAAGTCTGGAGACTCCAATCTAGACAGTGTCAAGTTAACTACAGTCCTCCTCCTTGCACGGGGAGGACAGAGCGAGGACCGCCAAGAAAAATGACCAGCCAAGCACAAATTAGGGTGAAATCCAAGCTAAAAGACCCACCCATCCAGAGATGCGCTCATGGTGCCATGAGTTTGCAGCTCAGCGGGCAAACCGGTGACAATGACCTCGAGGGAAACGCCAAGCTGTTTGGTGGCACTGTCACTACGTCGTCAAAACGCTCAAACTATCTTTAAATGTTCAGGTCGCTAGAGCTACATTGTCAACATACCCAGAGAGCAAGTCAAAAGCACCTCTATGCTTCATCGCAGCCTAACAGTACTATTTAGGTGGTAACACACCGCAGGCGGTTTACAAGGCAACGTCAACACAACAAGCTTGATTAAACATAATGAAGCTAATGGCACGTAAGAAAAAAACAAGCCCAGTTCTGTTGGTGAAGAATGTCTATAAATAGACAGTTCACAGGGCACCAACTGACAAAATGCTCTACAACTGGAACATTATTTCATAACACTTCACTCACATATATGCCCATTTGTGAAGCTCATTCAAAGACTTTGTTATTATATTGTGAGAATGCCCATTCATAATTCCAGCTGCTTGCTGTGTTAAACTTCTGAAAAGGTTCCTTCTTCAGAAAAGTTCTTTAAACCATTCTACTTTATGCTGCTGCAGGAGTCAGACAGCCATTTGAACCTTAGCCAAGAATACCCCCCACCAGAATAGGCATCCTAATGGGAATGGTCATCACTGGACGCTAATCCTCTCAGCACTAAGGCATACCTCTCCAATCTGCATTGTGCATGCATGGGAAATTGATTCATGCCTCAGTCATCTACTAACGATCCACATGATTCATCCCAAATCTGTTCAATTTTTAAATAACGAAAATTCTCATTATAAATCTCATATGACCAAATAATAAAGTAGCTCTTTTTTCCAAAATAATACAAGTAATAAAGACAATTTTACATTTTTACAGCACAGAAGGCCTTTCAAGAGGATGACTTGACTACTTAGCAGTTAAATGATTAGAGATGCTGATCCCTTAAACACTCAATGTCTGACAGCGGCAGTGCTGTAATAATAGAATTTTACAGTACCATGTGCATAGATACATAATAACAGTTGATGCATGATAATATGCATCTATGTGTTTCATCAATATATAAACAGAAAAACCTTCAGTCCATGTCTAAGTGAGTGGCATTTGTGGCAGTCTCCGAAAGATCTTCAAAACACCAGTCCATTTAGAACAGGGGTAGGGAACCTGTTCTGTGGAGGGCCAGTGTGGGTGCGGGTTTTTGGGATGACCTCTCGATCAGCCAGTAATAAAACAGTGGTTCTCAACTCCAGTCCTGCTGGCTGATTGAGAGGTCATCCCAAAAACCCGTATCTGCAGCAGCCCTCCACGGATCAGGTTCCCCACCCCCTGATTTAGAGGTACAGCTGTGTACAGTTTTGTCTTTTTTGTATTCTATCATACCAAATTGTACAAAATGGCATTGCATTTCTTTGCAAGGATAATGTATAGTGACATGTTTGATTTATGACTTTCGTAAAGCAGTTTTCCACATCTTTCCACATCTTAACCAAGCAGCTCTCCACTGCAGGTTATTAAATTGTCATGCTGATACTGAATGAGGTATTCAGAGATACTTTGGAAAAGTTTCCCCCGGAATGGCCCTGCAGGCCCCTGGAAGTAATGACGTTCCTCCTACGGCTACCTGGCTGGAGGCTCCTCAACGCGCCTCCTTCTACACGCCAGAATGACTTTCCTGGAGAACCAAAGCGCTGCGGCAAACCCAGGCCCCCTTTCATCCCCTCCTTTCTTTTTGGGCCCTCAGCATCCCTCTGATGCACAGCCAAGCAAAGGTGTGAAAACGGCAGCTACTTTCAACCTTCAAATGAAAGGCATACTGCAACACAAGACTGGAACACATGCCACAGCTGGCCAGCCTAGGGTCAACGTTGCCTCTTTCTCTAATCGGGCTAATGGTACAACCTCATGGTACCATGTGACTGGCCACTTCACCGGACGCTGCCATACAATCCTCCATTGTCAGAGGAAAGGCATTTCAAGCCTACTATGTACTAGAGAGTGATGTCAGATGTTAGCCAAGTAACAAAGTTGACCACTTGATGGCGATAGTGTGCATAGAGTAACAATCTATCACCTTGACAAAGAAACACCACTGCAAGAATAATTTAATGATGTAATGGCTGACGTTTTCAAGTATGGTCCATAACCTTTCTGTGCATGAAACAGCAATACAGCGATTATGCTAAGCATCTTTTTTCCCCAATTATTATTTACAGAAAAGGATGATTTCATTCTGCCACAGCATGATCTGGCACAAAACACTACAACTCTGAAAAAAATGGAAAAAAGCTGATTGGTAGCAAACGGATCACACAAATTAGACACTAATAGCAAGGCAATACATATTACTCAAAAGTTCTGACATATTACCATGATTTTAGATTTTACACTCTAAATTTTATATAACTTCACTAATCATAAAGAAATAAACATTGCCTAGTACTACCAACTAAAAAAAACAGTTTAAAATTCACTTCCATGGGCTATGATGTGGAAACAATATACCTGAAATCCCTCAAGTTAACCACTTCAATTACTAAAAATAGCTCATTAGAACCAGTGTACGCATGGCTCTAGAAGCTGAATTGGCTTATTTAATTCAAAGTAACCGATAAGAGCCAGCTTCCAGCAATGACTGCATGCATACCAGAATATTCCAGCAAATGATTTCCATATAATGATTTCTATAACCTTGACAAAACAAACACATCGATCTTATAGTTTGATCTTAGCATTCAAGCACTCTTCAGGATGCAATCACAGTGATGTATTGCATTCCCCATTTACAGAAAAAAGAATCATAATTTACAAGAGAATCTTACATCTTTCAAAAATAATATATACAGATCTACATTAACTGCAAGTGCAGTTATACTGGAGGGTTAAGTCAATCATCTGTAAACATGCCGCTCCATAATTCTTTGAACATATTGATGTTATAAACAAAATGCAAATTGCAAATATCAACAAATATAAACACTCATGCCGCATGATGTTTTTGATCCACTGCCTCCACATGCATGACAGTTGGAATATTCGATGTGGAGAATATTGCTCATGTCTTGAGACATGGTGGCACTACATTGACTGCGGTGCTAAAAATACAACATAATCTCGTCAAATTTGTCGACGCGGCTGTGGCGGTTTTATTGACGGTTACTGTAAAGACCAACAATGACTCACCTGATGAGCATCAAGGTCAATAATGGTAGCCTTGGATATCCCCTCCACTCGCTCAAAGAGAAACTGAGCAACAGAAGCAGAAAAAAAAGAGTCAAATGCTTCATAATACATGCTTATCCGCAGTACCTGCGACTAGGGGTTGCATTTTTATGCTAAGCTTGAAAATCGAAAAGCTACGTGGCCGCTACAGTCACCAAATCACACTGCACTTGAAAAAAGGTCTTAACCAGTCATGCTTCAGTACAAACATATAACTGTATAAGTAGGGAAATTGAAAGCCTTACAACTTACATGCGAACAAAGTGCAGCTAAATAAAATTTAGCTTTAATAAAACTATAGAAAATATTACCTTGATAGCTAATGTTATATCAGCGTAAGCACAGAAGCCACCTCCCTTGTCGCTGGAGCAATGGTGGAAGCCGCCCCCTGAGGTGGAAGGAGAGATCTGATGAGGCAGAGTTTGTCTGTTTTCCCCCAAACATATAAATAATTGGCCATGGTCCTTGTTAAGGTGTTGCTGTCGGGTTCGTATTGGCGCAGTATGAAATAACAATGTGTGTGATGACACCGTGGACTGCTCTGCTCTCAGCCACCCGTGACTGATTGGCACTGTTTTAATTGGGCGACACAGAATCATTTCAGATGCCATCCTGCCATCTGGATAGTCATAATGCTCAAATCACAGCCCAGAGGTGGGCGACTCAAAGTCGTTCAGCTTTTGTTGCAGCTCAAGCACATGTTGACACAACATTCAAAACAGGCACCTCTGCAAACAAGAGACCCCAGATGAATAGCTGTCTCACGTCAGTTTAAATAATGTTTATCAATGCAAAACAGTGCGCGGTTTCTCCTGATTCATCACTGCTGTGCGCCGAGAGGCTGACTTAGCAGGAACCACGCAGAAAAGACACGGATCAGCACACAATGTGCCGAGAATAATGAAGAGGCCTGGACCAAACACGTTCTGAACAAGGGCAAAAACGAAACACCAACTGCAGCAGCTCGTAATGGAAGAGAGTCGGCAGCTCAACTTAAGTTACACAGGGACCTTCCAGCTAAAAGTTATCTGATTTAAACAGCTTCCATATTACTTATTCAACTACCGTTAGCCAAGATATTGTGCTTGTCATTTCTGGCAATGCTTGGAGTAGAAAACCAATCTGTACTGTAGTAATATTGATCAAGTCATACGGAAAAATACATTACAACATATCATTGCCGTTTTCTGATTACATTCTGAGGCTAGGTAGGTAATTAGGTTTATTGACTCATATAGTTCTCATTTTAACCAATACAAGAAACTCAATGTTTAAAACTGAACAAAACCAATAAGAGATTACGCTGATGAAATTATGAAAAAAAACTTTGAAAGTGCATTATTTACTGTATCGAGTATGTTTCAGAAGGACAGCCATCAACCTGGTAGTTCCACCAATGTACTGTTAAACCGACCAATTTAAATATAATCTATTATTCATTTTTCTCCAATTAAAATGGTAACCTGTACATTCTAAGACATATTCTCTGGGGGACTGTTACTTGACCTGTGAAAAGAAGGTTTGTGTGACAATGGCTCAAATTTAGCACTAGGAGTTTTTCTAAGAGATTTAGTAATATATAACAGAGTGGAATAGGATTCTACACTAAGTTTAATACTCTTCAAAAACTTTGCTAATAATCTCATCCTATGGTACCTCTGAGTAAACATTTTGTTGCCAGATCAAATCACACATTATAGCCTTTTGAGCCTACGCTAAAATTCAGCCTGTATAACCGCTGAGGGATTTTCTTTTAAGGTTTCACAAAAAACAGCCCTTATCTTTTTAGGAAACCAGAAATAGTAGCATCTGCATATTGTTAAGAAGCAGGAGAAAGGAAACAGAAGGAGAAAAAATTAACAATGTACCAGTAATTAAGGAACTCTACTCGAAACGAAATTACTATTAACATAATAATAATTATAATTGCAATAATGATGATAATAAGAATCATGCTGGGGATCCCTGTTGCCCCCCCCTGGGGTGAGGCGTCCCCAAATGCGCTGTTCACATGTTCTCCCCCTGCTGTGGGGGTTTCCTCTGGCTACTCTGCTTACCTCCCACAGTCCCTAGACCTGAAGTTAGGTTACCTGGCACTTCTAAATTGCCCACAGTGTGTGTTCCCTGCAACGAACTGGCATCCGATCCAGAGTGTTCCACCGCCACCTGCCCTATGTTCTCCGAGATACGCTTTAGGGCTCCCAGCATGCACTGCACAATCAGTTAGAAGATGCACAGATTATCATCATCATCATCCAGTGCCGCATGAATGTGAGGAAGCTTTGTAAATACTGAAAAACACTGCGCGTGGCAACATGACTTCTTCAAAGTGGAATGGTTGGTAAGGATCTTTAGAGCGAGATTAAAAATCAATAAACTATCTGAAGAATACTGAAAAAGTGTCCATGTCTTGTAGCTAACTGGCAGCAGTAGACAGTACTGTGGCCTTACGCTGCAGTTTGTGTGTGTTTCCACTGGGAACACTGATTTTCCCCAAACGGCCAATAGAAGTGGTTTAGGAGGACTGGTGTCTCTATCTGGCCGTCAGTGTGTGATGGTGTGTTTGTGCGTGTGTAGGTGTGTGTGAGAACCTGCCCTGTGATGGGCTGGCGTTCTGCACAGGATCTCTCCTGAAATTCCAGACTCACCACACCCCTCACAGTCGATAAGCTATTAGAGATGGTGTTAAACTGCACAACAGCTTACGGCAAGATGCAAAATGAGCTCCATACCTGTTTGTTGCATTTATAACATTCGAAATCTAGAATCGTTTCAAGGGATTCAAATGAAAATATTTCAACTCACCAACATTGATCGCCCATCCTCGCTCTATGGCCAGCTTGCCTGCCTACAAATAACACAATTATTTCAGTTTATTGGATTCTCATTCGAGAATAAATAAGAGCTACTAATAACTCGGCATGCACATTTACTGGGCAGTGAGTTTTTCAGTTGTCTTACAAACATCTGGTTCTGCAATTAAATGTTGTTTTTATAAACACTGGAGACATTTACCATTTGTTGCATGCATTTACAGGAGGGTGAATTTAGACCATGTTTCATGCACAAACACACATACACACATACATGTGCCATTAGCATTCCTATGCAATGAAAGCTTAGTTACAGTAGTTCTAACACTAGTTAGAACATCTATAAGCAGGCTTTTTCAAACTTCTAAAAGTAGAATGAAACTGACCAATCGACTGAAGGCCTGTGAGGCCACCTGCTCATTCTGCTCTTTAAGAGGCTGCGGCTCCCCTGACCCGCCCACCAGGTGCCTGCCAGTTGGTGGAGGGCTGCATCAATCAACGCTCCATGAAACACAGCAAGCAATTCAAGGAGCAGAACCCAAAGGACACCAATCAACGGAGCACATGTTAATGCTCTGTGAGGACCTGCACTGCATTGATCACGGGTGTCAGACTCCAGTCCTGGAGGGCCAGAGTCCTGCACATTTTTGGGTTTCCCCTCATTTAACACACCTGATTCAACTCCTTGTGCTAATTACCACACAGCTCTTGAGCTGAATCATTTGTGGTGGAACAGGGAAAGAACTAAGCTACACAGGGCTCCGGCCCTCCAGGACTGCAATTTGACACCCCTGTCATAGATGGTTCTAGTACAATTTTTTCAAAAGTTACCTTGAGAAAAAAAATCATACAAACGATTCTCTTTATGCATTAGCTAAGTCATCCAGACACAGTGTTTTAGATCTAGAGACCATCTACATCTCCAATGCAAACACGTCTACCTGAGTTCCACAGCACAGTACAAAGCTTGCGGTCATCAGACCGGTTATGACTGAAGCTGAAGGAACTTTGGCTATGTGAGAACAGGAGAGAAACATTGCATTGTATCTGAAGCAGATACAATGTGAAACAGATAAAGAGATAGATATCGGGAAACAGCTCAGTCTAAGTTTCTGTTAGGTTTATATTGAATATAATTCAAATGCATTTAGCATTCAGACAAAAGGCAGCCTTTGTGCAAAGCTCCTCGGTTCTAGATTCTTGACCTGAAAGTCTGAAACGCTGCTGAACTTCCCACTGCAGTTAACGTTTAATTTACTAACCCGATTGCACTGAAGCTTGTGCATTTGCCGAACAGTCATCTTGAGTTTAGGCCTGGCCTGATTCGAGTACTGAATCTAACAAGGACTCAAGCACAGCAAAACTCATGTTACTGCTCACTCTACGATGGCGCCGTCTTATTAATATAATGTCATGTTTCAGAATGAAGGAGCAGTGGCCGCTCTGTATAGCTGATACTCGAAACTGATTAATGAGAAGCTCCCTGCACTGAGCTGAGCACACCTCACTCATCAGACACGTTCAGCATAAGAGAAGGCAGGCACCTGCCTGCAAGGCCTACAATAATCATGGAAATGTGGACGACTCTGAATGATGCCGTACTAGGTATGGCATAGTAGTTTGCATGATGACATAATCAATCAAGCCATTAGTTAGATTTCATTAGAGAATTATAGTAGCCAGGGATCATATTTTCATTTGACGTGCTTAGCTGCGTAGGTTTCATTATTCATAATATCGATTTATCTACTTATCAAAAATATTTCTCATTAAATAAATCCATTCAAATTACATTTCGAAGTGTTTTTTTTTTTATTAAATATAGTTTTAATCAGTGTAAAAGAATCCATCAGTGCTACAGCTACACAGAAGATAATGGTTAAGCGACATTAGATTTCATTGTTTTCTTTAGCATCGGTCAGATGAGGACTAAAGCATGAATATTCATCCGCACAAGCTCAGGCTCCGCCTTTTCCGCCTCAGGGAGGGGGTACAATCGAAATCCCCAAAGCACGATCGGACGCTTCACGAATCGCCGATTCCCAGTGAATGGTGCGGCTGGGCGGTTCCGTCACTCTCACCTACTGCATTACGGAACCTAACCCTCTGGTGACGAATGCTAGATGTGCCTACAGATGGCTACAGAAGGCTTTTGTCGGTGCCTGTGCATCTCACATAAAAGATTTTGCTTTACACTGTAAGTATCTGTCATTACTCATTTTATGATAAACTAAATCTCCAGGTCCATGGTTGATAGAACAGGGGGCTGCACCATGCTAAACAGCAGGAACTACAAACAAAGCTCACATCCTGTTTAATTCCCCTCCCCGTGTATGAATGGACATTGAGTATGAAAATGGAGTCCATGGGAACCACAAAGCCACCTCCAGCTGCTCCATCCACGAGATGCCTGAGAGACTCTGGGCCGACGGCTGGGTGTCAAAGCTAATAACGGATAGCAGTGGGGCGCTAATGACGCACATTAGCATGCAGGCACAAGCCAGACGAAAGGGCCATCAGAACCCGGCCGGGAAACACAACTGCGGCATCTAATATAGAGTACAGGTTCTCAATGACTTGCCTTGCTTTCTCCGCATTACCTTACCAAGGAAGAAGGGATTACCAGTAATAATTTTTATGGTAATAACCATATAGCAGAGAATAAAATAAGCGTTTGATTATATGTGTGATGGATGTACATCTGGGTGCCGAGATGGGAAATACAACCACTTACCCTTACATTAAGCATTTAGGCTTACTGATGTACGACTGATGTACGACTGATGCACGACTGATGCACGACTGATGTACGATTGAATTTAAAAATCACTGCACACACGTCACCATACGTTTCTGCATTTCTATAGTATCTCAGAGGATGTCCCAATAAATGCAGAACATCCTGAAGATCTAATATAGTTGACATTGACAAAACTATCGGTACGGCAATCAAGTCCACCTTGTAATAAACTTTTCATCATTCTTAATTGACTAGTACACCTTGCATAAAAATATATACGTAGATATTTCCTCACAGAAGATTTAATCCAATAAGCAAACATGTACTTGAATGGTATGCAAAGGCAAGGCTGCTCTGTTGGAGTCCGTGGCTTGTCATTGGCTCCCACAGAGTGTCTGCTAAGTCAGGGGGTATCAACATAATGAGACCTCACTGCTGTAAATTATGTTGTGGCTTCCTGTCACAGTTTGTCCCCTACAGAAAGAAACAAACAAAACTTGAGATTTTCTTGAGGCCTACACAAGACAGTATATGTTTGGGGACTTTTTATCGATAAAGAGAACTGACTCAATTTCTCATGAATTATGCCTACGGCCCCAAGACTTCAGGCAGATGACTCATGGCTAAAATCAGGACTCAAACGTTTGTAGATTTTCTGAATTGTGACTTGTGGCTTGAACTTGACTTGAAGGCTGATGAGTCGACTGCAAGTCTGCTAAGAATATCACCCCAATCAAGTGAAGCTTAGGTGACATTCTTCGGTATGCATCAGTGAAGCACAGGGCCGGTCAGAGCCCATGTGGCACCCTAGACGTGTTTCACCGCCGACCACCTCCGCCTCCGCCGATGCCAAAATAAATGGGCAAACGACAGGCGTAAAGGAATAAAGACTGATCATTGTCCAACATTACATAATAATGCAGTAAATTAGCAACATTATCATATAACTAAAAAATAAATAATTGCAACTAATAATAATACTGATAAAAATATATCTTAACAGTTGCTTTGAAGGCGTAACATGTTATTATTTCTTGTAAATGATTGAGTTATAGTATGAGCAGAGATTTTAATAGAAATTTTACACTGAAGACTATAAAATTAGACTATAAAATCTTTTTTGATGGTATTGCAACATGATTGTGTGTGTGATTAATTGCAGTAAAAAAATTATAGTTTGACAGCCCAATTAATAATTTTGGTCACCATGCCAACCTATAATGCTCTTGACACGCTTCTCCTCCCCCCATTCAGCGTAGCTGTTCTGTGACGGCACTGCAGCGGGCGTGAGGACTTCTCGGGGCTCAAGCCAGCCAATTTCACTTTGCCTCGGACAGCGTGTATTTTACGTAAAAGAGAAACAGGCTGCATAAGTCTGCAGCCCTCAGAAACTGCCGTCCTAGGCGGCCACCAATATGACTGACCAGGCTGCTGTAGCAGCAGCAAAACTTAATACACCATAATGAATAATATCCTCCTGAGACCCGACCTATTCATTTATGTCCATTGTAGTGGACATTGTATTTTTGCATTTATTTTTTCACTGATGTTGGGAAACGTATTTATTCTTGTTGTGCACTAAAGATGACATGCTGTGAAATTAAAATAAGAATAAATTTGAAAAAATCGAAATTGTAAGAAGTCTTATTTCCTCCAAAGACAAATAACCTACAATTGAAGGACACTTTTTTCCTTGGGTCTCAGGAGGATATAGTATAAGAATATACTATAATGTATTTAATAATTGTCACGCCCCGCTCCGTACGATCCCGATGTGTGCCACGCCCCCCTTAATACCTCGTGTGCATTCCCGATTGTGATCACCTGTGTCCTGTTATGTCTGGCTAGTCTTTTGTATTTAGTCCGTGTCTCAGTTAGTTTCCCCAGATCTGTCATTGTAGTGTCATGTGTTGTCAGGACGTTTGCCTTTTGTCTGCTTGTCTGCCCGTAATAAACCCCATTTCTGAGGATTCCCGGCTTACTCGCCTGCTTCCCGGCTCGCCTATTCCTGATTTGTGACAATAATGGTCCCAATTTTGCTATGCCTAATGGTGTTTGACAACTTTACATTGAAGTACACAGGACAGTAAAAATTTCCTTTCCGGTTCATGATCGTACATGCATTTAATGTAATGGGTAGTTCTGAAGCTGACATTGACTTCCAATGGACCTTGTTCTATAATATATGTGAGAAATCGTCCTTAAATTCTCCTTTGTCATGTCCTCAACTTGCAGCAGAAAACAGAAAGTCAATGGAGAATAGAGGGTTTTCTTCCTTTTGAAAGACTTTTAAAGTCTCAAGAAAATTTTATTAAGAATATCATATGACATCACCAAATATGCATACAGTCATTTATATGCAGAGGAGGGAACTTTTACCAAATGTTTTGAAAGACTGAAACCTGTCTTTTTAAAAACGATCCCCAAAGGCACTTTTTCTTTATCCCTAAGAAAAAACATAATACAGCAGCACTATAAATAGCTATAATAGTAGTACAGTGATTACAGTTTCCCCAATCTCAGATGGTGGTCTTGTGCTTCAAAAGACATTTATATAAGCTCACCATTATGTAAATGCAGAGTATGGAATAAAGAAAACATCATTGGCCTTCAACAAGCAAAGATCCAAGGTCTACCAGCACTTTTTCAGGTAAATCTCAGGTGTGAACATCACAATGGTGTCATAGCGTTCTTACAATAAAGAACTCTATGCTCTTTATCTTCTAAAATGCACTTCAGCTCCAGCATAAATCCCTACAGATTTTCTGATAATGATGTTCAAAGTCTTTAAACCAGATCATTGCTCCCTGTGTAAATGAAAAACGCCTTGCTTTGCACCTTTTAATTGTACATTACGAAAATATTGCAAAGTTCAACTTTTTGAATAAAACAGAACCAACTGAAACTTTCTGAACCTTTTAGTGGGTTGACTACAAAAGCAGGTATTTTGACCGAAAGGTTGGAGACTGATTAAAATTAAAGCAGATGACTGTACTGCTCTTTTGTGACAGACTAAAATTTGCATTCCCGAATTTATTAAAATGGGACAACTGAGATATACAGCTTGTTATGAACAATTGCTGCAAAATAATATGATATAGTGCCTTAGGGGTATCAATTACCACCTGCAAGCTGGTGCAGTTGATACAAAGATGTCAAAATGTCAGAATTCTGCCCTTTATCATACCACAACCCATTAACTCATCGCTGTCACTCTGTACCTCATAAACCACACGGCCTGATGCTAGCTGATTTCTCATGAAAGTTTCACTTGTACGAAAATGTTCTGAGGGCAGAATGAAGAATGATTGGCTGAGAGAGATAACCAATCAGATTATAGAGAAGGTGGATCCAAGCAACCAGAAGAGGTGGGACCAACCAATCAGATGTCTTAGTCTTGCCTCCTCTTGTTGCTTGGACCCACCTCCTCTAAAAAAAAAAAAAAATCATTCTGCCCTCAGAACAATTTTGCACAAGTAAAACTCCCACAAGCTACCTGGTGAGTTAGCACTAAGAGTCGATCCACTGATCGAATTTCTTACCATTATAGTGCCACCCGTTTGCGTGCGAAGCGGCCTCAGCACCTTCCTCTGCACCAGGAAATTGGGCAAAAACAGGAGCGGTGGGATTTCTGTGATGGTGGCTACCACCAGCGACCACTGCAAGGACAGTGGGACAGGTGTGACATGACACAAGCATGCTTCAGTGACACGATAGACAGACCATAATCTACTGGGCTGTAAGTGGTCCTTTAGCTTCAGATCTTTATAAAAAAAAAATAATAAACCACAGCATATTCATAAAAACACATACAAGACCACAACTACATATATAGAAAGGAGCAGAAACAAAAAAGAATAGCATGGCAAATGTTTCAGGCACCTGCAGAACCACACAATGCACTAGGATGGAGGGAATAGAGCACCTCAGGAATGACATCCACCCTCTGTGAGGGGGGGCTTTGGGAAGAAGGGCGTAAATGAAAGGCGCTGTTAACTGCTGCCAAATGTCACAAAGGAAAAAAAACAATTCCAATCAAGTATGAAAGAGCATTAAAGAAATATATGTAAATATATATAATAACAATCCAAGCAGGCCACTGGGATACCTCTCTCGATCCCTCCAAGATATGGTTCTGCATGCAGTAAAAAGAAGAGAATATACTGATATGTATTGAACTGTAACAATGAACTACACTAATCTCCTTTATTTCAATGATCTGCTGCCTGAGGACAATGTAAAATTTGATATTTGAACTGGGACTTGGAGACATTTTGAATTAAAAGAAGTCAAAGAAACTGCAGAATATTTTGTGAGCTACCAAAAAAAAAAAGAATGTTATCACCATGGACTTGCCATGGACTCTTCAAGGCAAAATGGTGATTTTTGATTATAATTATTTATTATTCTACTTAGTTCACAGCGACATTAAAGGTGAACCTATATGCTTGTATGTGGAACTGATGCACAACACGAGGTGTGTTTGGGTATCAGCACCTCCATAACAACCCCCCATGCATCCATGCACTTTGAGTAACTGCTCATCCCGTAAGGCTGATGGTGCGCCTGGGACGGTCCCAGGTGGCATGTGACATAAGGCAGTGTACATCCTAGAAAGGAAGTCACTTATGGGATGGAGGGGAATAACCCAGGGGCATTATCATTTTACGGCAGTAATCTCCATTAAACATATTGAAATAAAATGGAGAAACTTAATGAAAAAGCACAATTGTGGCATTAAGAATGGTCAGCAGGACATTCCAATGAGTAGCTCTTGCTGTAATGGATTAAAGACTGTGGTATCGATATAATTAATAAATAAGAACATGTTATTTATAAAATTAAAGATATTTAACAGTGATATATATATATATATATCATATATTTACAAGTGTAACTGACCAAATAAAATATGTCAATATAACATAAATCCTGGATTAAATACGCAGCTTCAGACTGATGTCGTCACTTTAGCTGCACGTCCATTGTTCACTGAGAGTACAAAGGGAGAGGAGAAGAGGAACCCCAGGGGTCTGACAGAGGGCAAACACGACACAGCGGCCAGTCACCTTCAGTTTGTTCAGGTAATGTTTCGTGTGGACAACCAGCAGGTCCTGCTCCGTCGCCTCCTGAGCCTCAACGATGTTCTCATCTGTGAGAAACTGCTCCTCTGAAAAGAGTACAGCAAGCTACCATTAGCACTGCTGTGCAGAAACATATAACATACATTATTAAATCATTAGTTTCCTTCATGCTACACATGACTATAGACATGACAAATGAATAACAATTAAACTGATGTACACAGAATACTGGGCCATGTATAGATTCGCCACATTCTATAACAAATATAGAGGGGTATACATGAAAATTAAGGGGGCCCTAATGAAATGTCGCCTTGGACCCCCCTGCCTAAATCGGTCCATCCATCCACCCACCCATCCATCCGTCCATCCATCCACCCACCCATCCATTTTCTGAAACTGCTTGTGTTATTCAGGGTAGCGGGGGGAAGCCTATCCCAGAGGCTATGGGGGCAAGGCAGGGAACAACCCAGTGGGGGGCGCCAAGCCATCGCAGCGATGTCTAAATATTTAAGGGGCCCCACCAAGCACTGGGCTCTCAGAATCTGCCAGGGTATCCATGCCCCTCCACCTGCAAGACATACAGTATAATGCTTGTTTGAACCACCCCCCCCCCACACACACACACACACATATGCCTGTCATGTAACTGGATAAAGGGCAATACTTAATGTTGTGGTTAAGGAATTTAACTTCTTACCTAGTGGTTTTAGATTTAAAAAGCAGCCCACTAGAAAGCTTAAACTGGCTGTGTAATTGCTTGAATTTTAAAAGTGTAAGCTAGGTATGTCTCTGGAGAAAAGAGCTCGTTCATCAAAAAAAGGTAATGTAATGTATTGAGTGTGGATGGTGATTTTATGCTGTCTATATACAGTATAGAATCAGAGGGAGAGTGCTTTACTTATGAGCTTATTATGAGGTTACGCTGGATTAGAACCCATATCAGCCCTTCATTTCAAAGCCATGGTGGGGTACCTGCAGGTTGCAGGAGGATTCATCTCTTATAATTAACATACAAATACTTTTCACCCCCACATACAAAAACCTTCAAAACTCATTTCAGTGATGAAAAATCCCATATATTTCATGATATAATGAATGAGGAAAGTCTTGCAAGTTTCCCATTGTCACATTGCTGAATATACCTTTTAAGAAGTGAATCACTTTCCCCCATTTTCCAGCATCGAATGGGTGGAGCTTCTCAAGGCCCAAGAAGGTAATGTTGTAGTTCGGAGAATAAACAACGGGCAAGCACGTGGACGGCGTCTCGCGGTAGAGCTCTGTCTTATGAGAGCTGAAAGACAGGTTTAAAACATTTAAGAAATATTCTTAAAACAAAATAATAAGGAGAAAAAGAACAATAAACTGGAAACTCGATCAATGCAATCAATGCAATGCAACGCAAATGCTGATTAATAAATTTGTCTGACTAATCACCATGGAAGCATCATTTCTTGATACTATATCCAGCAAATTGTACACTTCTTAACTTGTTAATAAACAAACAAACAAACGAATAAGTATATCAATCTGCCATAAATACTGCTATTTAAATATAATTTCTCTCTAGCTAATAAGCATCTTCGACTCCGCTGACGTGCCGTAACTGGGTACATACCATTTTTTTTCTTGCTTGGGCTCTGTCTGGGACATTTTTAAAATCGTGTTTTCATCGTCATCTTGAGAAAAACAGAACAGGACAAGCTCGTTCACATCAGTGTCGCCCCCAAACATGAAAGCGCACTCGATGAGACAGGGGAAGCAATGAGGACCGCGATCACTTTTTTATATAAAATATTTTTATTATTCCGCCATTGAAATAAATCGTACTCATGAACGTGCTTTGGTAATTTGCTTAGAAGGGGACTAGCAAATTTCTTCTCCAGCTCTTTATTTAAAGCAAACCTTATGTCATGGGCTCTCGATCGTTGCAATGTGGAGGAACTGTCAACAACATTATTATGCAATATTCCTCGAAACATTCTACAAAATTTGCAGACTGCTACCACTGATTCAGACGCATAATCTTATGCGTACGTTTATAATATCAGACACTAATGAAAAAGAAGATGACTCTATTATATTGCTTTAATAAACTAAAAACAAATCAAAGTGTTATTTTCGATAGTTTCGTTTTCATCTCCAGCTGCACCATATGAAAATAGCTCCACTCACCTGGACCGTTTATTCATTACTCATTCGTTTTCAGTATAATGGTTTGCGAACATCGCACGGAATCTATTACACACTTACAAGACTGAAATTGATAACTACGGAATGTTGTTTTGTACCATCTCACACATTAATACGTACAGACTGGCTTACTTCCGCCCTGCTCGCGCCAGCACGCATGACACTTACGTCACTTGTCAACGCTGACTTGCCCAAATGGGCTGCCGGCGGGTCGATCTGAGATGTCGCGACAAAATCTAAAGACTTAAGAAAAATCCCACGATCTGAACAGCGTTACTCACCTTTATTTCTTTATATTGGTTACATAATTGCCAATCTAAAAAACTGTTTAGTAATCGCCTTACTTTTACTAGTGTATCGCTAATAAATTTTACAATGATTTCGCATAATATTACGTTTATTAATATTTGTTGTAGTTTTAATCGGGCCCTAACTATGCATGTTAAGTCCCAGTGTATTCCCAGTATATTTACCTGTACACTGGTTTCGTCACACAGGCCTGTCGCCTGTTAAATACCATTATTAGTAGTAGTAGTAGTAGTATTGGACGGTTGGATAACAGCAGAAATGCCAATTAAAACTGACAAGTGACTTAAACGGAATAAACAGTGCCCTCTATCTGCCGACAGTTTTACCAGATGTACAGTATATAAATTTGCCTCAAATACGAGCAAATCAAAATGCAGCGGTTATTTGGTTGAACCAAAAAGTTTCTTCATTAATTCAATTCCACAGAGTATGAGGAGGCAGATCTCTATCCCAATCAGACTTTTCAACAAACTCTGCATGGTAATTTGGATTAAATAACTGAATTTTTAATTAAAGTACTGACACCCGCTGTTCTACAGTAGGGAGACGCATGAATTGTTGTGTGGGCATGGTATTGAGTGAGGTTAGATTTAGGGAGTGACCTCTTTTAATTTTGTTAGCAAGTATTTGAAATTTACAAATAAACAACTCACAATCACCTCCACCCTGCTTCACTCTTTCATTCATTTGTTTGTGTTTCAAAAGAGACATATATTTACCAGCTGATGGCAAAGCATTTTTCAGTCTATTACTGGTGCCCTGGGCCAGTCATTCCTATAGGCAACACAGGTGACTGGCTAGGGCAGCAGCTTCTGAGGCTTGCCAGCCTATTTCATTTTGCCTGGCAGAGGCGGCAGTGATACTCTGCCAGGGCATCACATACTGCTGGTGGCATCTATTTTTGGTGTTTTTATTTATTTTTATTTTTACTTTATTATTTGTTTGTTTGTTTGCTGACAGAAGACCAGGAGCTATATGGTTCTGCATATACAACAGGTGTAGTTTAATTACATGTGCATGACTAACAACCACCTTGTCTCTCCATCCCCCCGTTAGACAAAAAATGAACTAGCTATTCAAAATTTCATTTCATTTTTACAGTATGACCCTGTCTAGTCCCCATTCTTTTCTACAGACTGCAGCTATCTGAATCCCTTGATCTTTTGACTCACTATTAGATATTATGACCTAAAAACGATGCAAGATTCTGTTCACAAGATTATGTATGACAGACAACATGATAATTGATTGAAAATGATTGAAGTTGGTGCAGTTTCGTTATTGATTTGGTTTTATTTCAAAAGGGAAATTAGGAAGATGTTAAGAAACTGATTAATTAAGCTACTTACAATTCTTTGGGTCTGTTAAAATCAGTTTTAGTTAATTCATGATTTTTCTGTAAAATCCATTTCCTAGTGTTTCAGTACATGTACTATATTAATATCTTTAATTAAAAACAATATCTTGATCAAAATATCTGCAATTTTTCATTTGTCTTTTTTTGTATTTCATTTTAAAAGTAATATTTTAATGGACTACACTTAATGTGCGTGACTTGTGTTGCCCCTTTATTTGTTTACTATGTCAAAGACTTTTTAATGTTGGCAAATTATTTCTAAATGGGTTTTATGAGTGTTAGTGTCTGGCGCTGATCCAAATTCCAGCTGAATTCTAATGGCCCATTATAATTTTATGGCTTTTAACTATAAATATTTCCTCTGCAGGACCTTGATTTCGTATGTGGCTGCATGTCGACACTCTGGTTTGAAGTCCTTCAGTAGTTAACTTATTTTTATAGTTTAGTTTTTTCCAGTTACTGTATTGTGTATTATCATGTAGTCAATCTAGTAGGAATTTCCTTGGATTATACTGTAAAACAAAGCAAGTTAAGTGAAAGACATCATGGCTAATTTGTTTGTGTTGTTGTGTAACGGAGAAGCCAAAAAAGATACAATACCCACATGAGATAGCGCTCAGGAAAAAATTAAGAGACCTCCATTTTTAAAACCTGGTTTAATCCTGGTTCTGCTGGCAGAAGGCTACACTGCGAGGCAGGCTGATTCCAGGCTCTATGTTTCTAAGACAGCAGAACAGAAGAACAAGGTGAAGCAGGAGACGCTGGTAATGATCAAGCTAGGTGGAGGGCGGAAGTGGCTTTCTAATGCCAAAGACTGGTAGCTTTTCCGGCAGTGCCTCATAAATAGGAGGATGACCTCAAGTGACCTTCAAAAACAATGAGAAACTTTAAGTGGTTTGAAGTGCACTACAGCTAGGACAAGTTTGAGGACCCATAAAGCAAGGAAGAAGCCCTTCAGTAATGAGAAAAAGGGAAGAACCAGGCTGGAGTTTGCAAAAAAAAAAAATGCATATTTTACACAGGCACATACCCATTAATTGAGAAATCAGTGAACCTGCAAATTTTGCTGTTGTTTCTTAATTTTTTCCAGAGTTGTATTAGTAACAATATGGGAGTGTCACAATAATTGTGCTGTCCATACTACATTTAATTTACATTTTACAAATGCAAAATGACATACACATGAGGCAAATAGCACCATGCAACCGTACACTACCAGTGAAAAGGTTTTGCACATGACATTTTTTTAACCACTTCCCCACTTATTTCATAAACTGCAGATTTTTTTTATTCTTAATCACTGGAAAGTTGAGTGAACAAATATAAATGAAGATATAAGTAAAATAAAACAAGTTTCCTTTATTACATGGAAAGAGTATGTAACAGTGCATGTCTGACATCCTATTAACTGGTTGCGTAATGATGTCATAGTCAAATTCTAGGCTGACCTTTAACACTAAGTGCACTAGTTAACTATTTCATCCCATGAAACAGAGCGATATTTAATGTCCCTTGTAGAAAGAATGCCTCAAATTTTGTCTGCTGTTTTAACTGCTAGAGGAGGTTACTTTGATGAATTGAAGATATGACATTTTCTTGCTAATAAAGGAACTAAAATGGTGAACATACTGTAAATTTATTTGTTAGCAAAGAATGTTGAGGTTATTTTTAGTAAATGTTACCTCAGTAACATGCAAATGTAGAAAATTTCAGTGTGCAAAAACTTTTGACTGGTAGTGTACATGCTGTCAAGGAGTCAACTAGGCACAAGTGCAGTGAGGGTGAGTGTCCAGTGAACGCCCAGGTACGTAAGCAGGGTTGGAACTGTAGCAGGAACAACTTCTATCAAAGCAAGAAGCTAATAAGGTTATTCAATGACCAGAAGTGCAACATGAGAACGTTCAGGGAACATAACGAATCATTAGGCTAGTACTATGTACTTGTTATATGGTATATGATGCCAGATCTATTGCAATGGTTAGTTTCTCCAGTGTAATTCAGGCACCATCATTCTTCTAGGTGGGTATCATCGTCAGGGCCACAGGGGGATGGAAGCCTATTCGTGGGCAGCGTGGGGCGCAAGGCAGGGGTACACCCTGGTGGGATGCCAGTCTATCACAGGGCACAGGACAGGGGTACACCCTGGTGGGATGCCAGTCTATCACAGGGCACAGGAAAGGGGTACACTCAGGTGGGATGCCAGTCCATCACAGGGCACAGGGCAGGGGTACACCCCGGTGGGATGCCAGTCTATCACAGGGCACAGGGCAGGGGTACGCCCAGGTGGGATGCCAGTCCATCACAGGGCAGGGGTACACCCGGGTGGGATGCCAGTCTTTCAGAGGGCACAGGGCAGGGGTACGCCCAGGTGGGATGCCAGTCCATCACAGGGCAGGGGTACGCCCAGGTGGGATGCCAGTCTATCACAGGGCACAGGGCAGGGGTACACCCAGGTGGGATGCCAGTCTATCACAGGGCAAGGGCAGGGGTACGCCCAGGTGGGATGCCAGTCTATCACAGGGCACAGGGCAGGGGTACACCCAGGTGGGATGCCAGTCCATCACAGGGCAGGGGTACACCCGGGTGGGATTCCAGTCCATCACAGGGCAGGGGTACACCCGGGTGGGATGCCAGTCTATCACAGGGCACAGGGCAGGGGTACACCCGGTTGGATGCCAAGTGGAGTATCTCTGTCTTTCGCTCTGCTAAGACTTCTTGTAAAGATTGTCACTATTTTAAAGCTGTTGAGCAGGCAATGTTAAATTTAAAGTGACAGATCATTTACTTTTCGTTTATTTCATACAGCCAGATATTGTTCTACATTTACATTTATTTACATTTAGATACATTTGAGACACTAGCTAGTGATGGTTCTAATAGCTGGTTCCTGCAAGGCACCCTGAGTGACGAGTTCAAAGATGGCATTCTTAATACCTATTTATATTGGGCTTGTTAGGTTACATACTCTAGAGGAAGACGGTTTTTTGCATTTATTCAGGAGGGATGCCAACAAAAGGGAGAACGAACCACGTCCAAAGCTGCTGTCCCACAAATTGAAAATGTTCACTGCCGATACTTCAATACCCTGCTGACAAAACAAATTAATTGAATTATGCCTGAACCTGGAACGTGTTTCCAGTGATAAGTTGTACATTTATGATGGATTCCGAGCGAGTTGTGATTCATTATGAAAAACACAAAATTAAATCAGTTTCATAATTGGGGCCGTTGAAAACTCAGTTCAATCTGAACCAGACATGACCCCAAAGACCTCATGCTGCACACAAACGTCTGACGGTGTATATGAATGAACTTCAGGATCACACACAGAAATGGTTCATATTTATAACAAGATATGTTTAATCCTGTGGGGGGGGTCGGAGGGGGGTGAATGTCAGAAACTATTACGTGTGACAGAAAAGTACTGACCATGGGTGGCACCTTTGATTTTTAATGCTGCTCAGAAATTTCTGGAAAGGCAAGCATTCCATC